TTGATGGGAGGTTGTTTTTTTAAAAATTCTTTATCACTGCTGCAGTTGCATCAAGTATAACCAGTCAATTCTGATTTTCTGATTCTTCCTGATTCAGTTTTTGAAGATTGTATGTTTTTAGGAATAGATCCACTTCATCCAGATTGCCCAATTTGTTGGCATATAGTTGTCTATGTTTTCTTACACTTTTTTTATATTTCTTTGGTGTCAGTTGTTAATTCTCCTCTTTCATTTCTGAATTTATTTATTTGGGTACTCTCTCTTTTTTTCTTGATGAGTCTGGTTAAAGATTTGTCAATATTGCTTATTATTTCAAAGAAGCAGCTCTTAGTTTCATTGATCTTTTGGGTTCCTTTTTATGACTCTATTTTTAAAATTTCTATTTTGATCTTTATTCCTTTCTTTTTACTTACTTTAAGCTTTGTTTGTTGTTCTTTTTCAAGTTTATTTAAGTGTAAAGTTAGATTATTAGAGATGTTTCTTATTTCTTGAGATAGGCTTGTAATGTGCAATTTCCTCTTAAGACTGCTTTTGCTATGTCCCATAGATTTTGGGTTGTTGATTTTCATTTTCTTTTATTTCAAGGTATCTTAAGAAATCATCCTTGATTTCATTTTAACCCATTCGTTATTTAGCCTCTGTGTCTTTGTGTGCTATTCAGATTTGGGCAGGGGAGGGGGGGGCGGGGGGGCAGTTGGTGATTGATTTCTAGTTTCATCCATTATAGTCAGAGAATTTTCTTGATATGATTTTAATCTTCTTAAATTTATTGAGACTTGTTTTGAGACTTGTTTGGTCTCTCCTAGAAAATGTTCCATGTGCCCTTGATAAGAATGTATATTCTTCTGCTTTATGGTGAAATGCTCTGATGATATCAATGAAACCTATTCCATCTATTATGTCATTGAAGGTCACTGTTTCCATGTTGATTTTTTGTCTGGAAGATGTATCTCTTGATGTAATTAGGGTATTAAAATCCCCTACTATGACCATATTATTGTCGATCGCTCCCTTTATGTCCCTCAAGATTTTTTTCTATGTTGGGTTCATAAGTGTTTACACGGTTATATCCTCTTTCCCATTATATTGTCCTCCTTTGTCTCTTATTAGAGCCTTTGTTTTAAAGTCTATTTTGTCAGCTATAAGTATTGCCTCTCCAAGTTTTTCCCCCTTTTTTATTTGCATGACAAATCTTTGTTCATTCTTTTACTTTTGCTTTCTGTGTACCTTTCATTATGAGGTATCTTGTAGACAGCATATATATGGATTTTTTTTTTTATTTCTTCAGCCACCCAATGTCTTTTGATTGAAGCATTTAAGCCATTTTCATCTGAAGTGATTATTGTAAGGTACAAATTTATTATGATTTTATTCTTTATTATTATGTGCCTCTTCTCCTCCTTCTTCTGCTCCTTCTGCTTCTTCTTCATGAAGATCCTTTAACATCCTATATAATAAAAGGCTAATATGCAAGTTGACCGAATGGCAGAACGACCAGTCGCTATGACGTGCACTGACCACCAGGGGGCAGATGCTCAACTGGTGGTGAGCACCAGAAGCTGGGCTCACGGCTGTCAAGCACAGCAGTGGTGTCAGGAGCCTCTCCTGCCTCTGTGGCAACACTAAGGATGTCCGACTGACGGCTTAGGCCCATTCCCCCCAGGGAGTAGGCCTAAGCTGTCAATCAGACATCCCCTGAGAGGTCTCAGACTGTGAGAGGATGCAGGTTGGGCTCAGGGACCCTCCTCCCCCCAAGTGCACGAATTTTGTGCACCGGGCGTCTAGTTTATTATAATACTAGTATAGTGGTAATGAACTACGTTAGCTTTTTCTTGTTTGGGAAGCTCGTTATTTCTACATCAATTTTAAATTACAGCCTTGTTGGGTAAAGTAGTCTTGGGTATAGGTCCTTGCTTTTCATTACAGTGAATATTTCATGCCAATGCCTCGTGGCCTGAAATTTTTGTTGAGAAATGAGCTGACAGTCTTATAGCAGTTCCCTTGTAGGTAACTAACTGTCTTTCTCTTGCTGGTTTTCAGATTATTTCTTTGTCTTTAAACTTTGCTATTTTAATTATTATGTGTCTTGGTGTGGGCCTCTATGGGTTCACTTTGTGTGGGACTTTCTATGCATCTTGGACTTGTATGTATTTTTTTTTCATCAGCTTAGGAAAATTTTCAGCCATTTTTTCTTCAAATAGGTTTTTGAAACTGCTTTTGCTCTTCTCTGTATATTGCGAATGTTGATAAGCTGCATGTTGTTCCAAATATTTCTTAAACTGTCCTTATATCAAAAAATGTTTTTGCTCCTTTAATTGAGTATATTCTGCTACCTTGTCTTCTAAATTGCTGATTTGCTTTTCAGCTTTATCCAATCTATGGTTTATTCTTTCCAGTGTATTTTTAATTTCAGATATCAAATTGTTCTTTTGCAACTGGTTCTTTTTTATGGTTTCTATGTTTTGTTGTTGTTGTTGTTTTAATGCTTGCTATCTCTTATTTAAGTTATCACTAAGTTCCATGAACATCCTTATAACCATTTTTTTGAACTCTTCATCTGGTACAATGCTTGTTTCCATTTAATTTAGCTCTTTTTCTGGACATTTCTCTTGTTCTTTCATTTAGTTTGTATTTTTATCTCCCCATTTTTGTCTGCCTCTTTGTGTTTGTTTCTGTGTATTAGGTAGATTTGCTATGTCTCCCAATCTTGGTAGGATGGTGTCCTGTGGAACTTAATGGCACAGTCTCCTTGATCACCTGAGCCGGGTACTCCAGTAATATCTCTTGTGTATGTTATGTGAGCTCTTTTGTCATAATTTAGTGTTGAGTTTGCTATAGTCCTATTTGTGTGTGTGTTTTATCTTCAAGTTTGCTGACTATGACTATTCATCTTGACCACAGTGTACAAGCTGCTGTGCAGGTGCTGACCATGTGAACCAGCAGGATCTGATGCCTACTGAGATCTGCCTTTGGTTATGCTACTTGTTAAGCTAATTGTATCCTGCTTTGATGTTATCTGAAGTTGTCCACTGGATATGTCTATTCTGGTGCCTTTTGGGAGGTACCCTGGTCAATGTCAGACACTGCCTGTGACCTGCCTTGGGCAACCTTTTTAGAGCTACAAAGCAATCCAGTTTGTGGCTAACTCTGCTGGGCCTTGGTGTGTGTGAGATGGATCAGTATGTGCACCATGTCTGGCTTCCACCATTGCTGAGCCCGGGGGCAGGTCAGCAAATGGCATAAAGGGCCCAGAGATCCATCTCTACCAGCCTTCACCTGCCAGCTGCCTGTTAGGTTCAGTCACTAAAAGAGCCTATAGGTGGGGATGAGTGGTGCTCACCATATTGATGTAGGTCAAAACTCATGCCAATGCTGGGACTGAGGCCGCTCGGCAAATGTCCCAGGTTATACTAAACCTAGATATTCCCTGCCAAGTGCCCATAGACTTTTGTGGTGGGGTGGTGTCTCAGGGAGTCATCAGGATGAGGATAGTAGATTTTATCAGGCCCAAACACACCAAGATTTGGCTGTTAAAGGAAGGTCTCTGCACCAGTTTGGCATGCAAGGGAAAAAAATGACCCTGTCCTAGTGCGACACAACACAGTCTGTCCTAGATCCTGCCCAGACCTCCTCGGCAGGACGGAGCTGCCTGGAGTCATGGGGGTAGGATCACCTGGAGCCTAGAGAGTGGGGCTAATGTTTCTGCTGTGAGAGGAGGCACTGGTCAGTTTCATGGGAAAGTGGGGGGAATGGACCCGCCACAAAGCCACACAACTCAGTACCTGAGTCAGCTCATACATCTGCACCCTGGCCCAGAAAGATGCTCCTCAGCCGGAAATCCAGAGGATAGGGCTGTTGTATTCACCCAGGCTGATGCCATAGGGAGAGGAATCCTCCCCTGAGGAAGGATGGCGTCTACAGTGTGGAAAAGGGACTCAGCACAGAGATCCTGGTGGCTGTCTCTTCAGCTCTCTCCCCAGAGCCACAAACCCCAGTCTGTCCTCATGGGACTCTAGTCTGCTTTACCCTCCCTCTCTCGGTGCTCAGGGTGTGTAGCTGTGAACAAGATTTTGTGTGTTGGCTTTTTAAGAGTGTACCTGGTCTGTTTCTTGTCCCTATAGTTTTGCCTTTTCCAGATGACATAAAAATGGAATCATCATATGTAGCCTCTAGTGGCTAAATTTAACCCAACATAATATATTTCAGATTTTTTCAAGTTGTTGTATGCATCAGATCTTGTTGAATATTCCTTTTACCCACTGAAAAGTATTCTACTGTAGGGATCTACCAGTTTTGTTTTATTTTTTTTTACTTGGAAAGAATTATAGACTTATCTGGAGTTATAAAAAATAGTTAAAAAGGGAGTTCCCCATATCCTTTGCCCAACTTACAAGGTAATATCTTATAAACCAGGAAATTAACATTGGTAAAATACAGTTAATTTTAACTCATATTCAGTTTCCACTTGTTTTTCCATGTTTTCATTTTATGTGTATTTATAGTGTGCGTTTTTTTATACACAACCCATATTTCACCACCACAATCAAGACACCTAATTGTTCCATCAGCACCAAGGCACTCACTCTCTCATGATACCACTTTATAGTTAGTCAAAGCACACACATACAGTCCCCCAAGAAAATATTAATTTTTTCTTCACCTCTATAATTGTCATTTTGAGAATGTTATATAAATAGAATCACAAACACTATGTAACTTTTTGAGATTTACTTTTTTATTTAACACAATGCCCATGAGATCCATTCAAGTTGTATTTAATGATAGTTGATTTCCTTTTTAATATAGATATGATTCCAAGATATGGATGTATTACAGTTTATAAACACTGAGCAAAAAAATACGTTGTATCTGTTTTTCTTCACAGAAGCTGGGAGAAAAATCATAAGTATTGCCAAAGTAATGTTAGAGTTTAATTTTATAGATGGTGAAATCGTGGAATTAAAAATGTTAATCTGCACAAATTTTCTTCTCTCTCATAGGAATCTTTGCTATAGAGATTTCTGATATGCGAAAAGATTCTTCACATCCTTGGGAAAGGTCAAAATGTCAATCTGATTTTTTTGCTATATGATTGCATTTATCTTTTGAATCCTTGACAATGTTAAATGTATATATTAACTTTGTGCCTCTGAATTTCTGTTCTCATGTGCCATATTACAGTGATCAGAGATGACTTATAAAACAAAAATGCATGTGGCTCTTTCTACCCATACAGTAATAGTGAGTGTAAAATCCACTTACTTCACTATTGAATACTGTTATGTTAACTATCCGGAGTAAATAAAGAAGCTTGTAAAAAGAAGGAAAAGTGTTCTTTACAAAACTGATTTTCTTTCCTTTCTTGGTCTCTCATATAATTGCACGGGTTTTTTTTCTTTGTTATTTATCCTTTCTTGGCTGGAGAAGTTCTGCCAAAATAGGCACAGTTTATTGATCCTGGCCTGGGTCCCAATATGCCACTTTGGACCCAGCCTGATGTAAATTCCAGGCCATAATCTGACTTCAAAGCAGCAGATAGTAGGAGGGTGTCAGGATTTTTAAAACCATAATATTGTACCACTGATTAACATACATTTCTGCAATTGTGTTTACCATACTATTTTTAGAAAGGCAGGTGATGCTATATCTGTCAAGAATGTAAGATTTTTTTAAAATCTGTATTTTTAATAAGTTTTCTTTAAAACATTAAAGTACTGCAATCAACTTAATTGCCATTTTATTTATTTTTTATTTTTTTCCTGTGGTAGGTGTTTGTTATATAGAGTAAGTCCAGTGATCTTTCCTCATTTCCACTAAAATTGCCTAAATCTCTTCCTTTTTCTGTCCATTGATTTTGAATTAAGAGTCTGAACACTAATGCATTTTACTAACATTAGCTGTTTGTATTCTTGCCATTTACTTTTAAAAATCTGTCATTAATAGTATTCATAGGATGTAGACAGTTTCTCATTGTATACAGTCACTATTCAGTATGACTACAGTAATGAAGGATAGGTCCCTGGTGTAGGTCTTGTTTAATCATTAACACCGTGATATTTTACCATAAGGCCATACTACATATTTACTTTAGTTTGATATTTAAAAACCTTGAGGTTTATTCACCTAATTTAAGACTCTCATTACAGATTGGTTTAAAAATTGAATAATTTAAAATATGATGTCCTTTTATAAACATTTTAGACAATAATACACAAAGAGTTGTTGGTTAAAAAAGTTGTTGGTGCTAATTTAAATAATGTATTAATAAATATGCAAAATTAACCTTTGCTAGTGATGCAATGACCTGAGCACTATGTCATTACAACATTAATTTCAATCTGTCCACCTCCTAGATGACCTGACAAGGAGCTGAGTGTCACCTGTCACACATACTTTACATGTTGTATGTGGAGGGCAGTATGTCGGGAAAAGGGCATGAGATAAATAAGAATGAAGTATGTAAGCAAATATTTCCATACTTGATTAAAAGTATACTGTACTTGACTTGTGCCATTAATTACCGAATATTTAAAAGGAAAATTATTTGGTAAGTATAAAGGGGCCAATATTATCCAAAGGTAGGGAAACCTCAACTGTATTCTATGTTAAACTCAAAGAAAATATTTTTTCTTATAAGTATATTTATAGACATTCATTATTTTAAATCAGATTCATGTCACATGATATAAATATATATTAACCTATTGATAAGGTTGAGATCACCTAATGCAATAAAATGCACAATACATATTTTTTCTTTGATAACAAAGAAATCTGAAAAAGAGCTCTCAACTTTGAAATGTCATGTTTAATCCAAAACATCCATTCTTGCTGAAGTAAGGGTGTTTTGAAAGAGAATTGTTAACCCTGTGAGTTAAATATCTCACAGGCACTAAGTCTCAATACATCTAAACTAAATTCAACAATGCGTCCTCTTGCAGTCTCTACCCTTGTTTCCCACATAGATACTATGTCAGATGCCTAAATCCTTAGCCCAGATGCCATTAGAAGTCACTCCATTCCCTTCTCACTGCACAATTTAGTCAACCTAAATGTCACTTCCTCTTACATATTGAAGAAATTAAAGAAAACCTAAATAGTGGAAAGACATCCTGTGTTCATGGAGTGGGAGCCAAATATTGTTAAGATGGCAATGTTCCTCCCAGCCATCTTCAGATTAAATAGAATTCATTTTGAAATTCCAATGGAGTCCATCTTTTTTCCCCCACAGAAATGGAAAAGCCAATCATAACATCCATATGGAATCTCAAGAGACCCAGAATAGCTCAATCATGAAACAGAAGAACAAAGTTGGAAGATCCACATTTACAATTTCAAAAACTTACTGCTAAACTACAGTTACCAAAATAATGTAGTATTAACGTAAGAATAAATAAGGATCAATAGAATAGATTGAGAGTTCAGAAATAAACCCATACTTCCATGGTCAATTGATTTCAACAGTGGTGCCTAGACCATTCACTGGGGGAAAAGAACAGTCCCTTTAGCAAGTGGTGCTGGGACAATTGGAAAACCACATGCTAAAGAATGAAGATGGACCCTTACCACACACCACTTACAAAAATCAACTCAAAATGAAATATATACCTACATTTTAGTGCTAAAACTATTAAACTATTCAAAGAAAACATACAGACAAACCTTCATGACCTTGGACTTCATAATTGTTTCTTAAATATGACTTAAATGACAAAAAAACTTCCAAGATAGATAAATTGGCCTTCATCAGAATTAAAAACCTGTGCATCAAAAGACATTACAAAGAAAGTGAATGAAGGACAACCAAATAATGGAAGAATATATTTGCAAATCATATATCTGGTAATGGTGTAGTATCTAGAATATATAATTTTTATAAACCAACCATAAAAAATGACTCATTTTAAAAATGGGCAAAGGACTTGGGTAGACATTCTCCAAAGAAGATATACTAATGCTTAATAAGCACATGAAAAGACACCCAATGTCATTAGTCATTAGGGTAATTGAGATCAAAGCTATAATATAACCCCTCACACAGAAAGATGGCTAGAATGGAAAATATGATAATAACAAGTATCAATGAGGATGTGGAGAAATTCATACATTGCTGATGGAAATATAAAATGGTTTGGCCACTGTGGAAGAGTTTGGCAGTTCCTCAATAAGTTAAACATGGAGTTAACATATGACCCAACAATTCAACTTCTAGGTATATACCCAAAAGAACTGAAAATGTGCTCAAACAACACTTGTACATGAATATCCATATTAGCTCTAATTGGAAACCACCCACCCAAATGTCCAACAACTGATGGATGGATCAACACAATATGTTACATCCCTATGATGGAATATTCTCAGTCATAACTGTGAATGACTTAACATTGTGCTAAGTCATCGGTTCTCAACCTGTGGGGCGCGGTCCCTTTGGGGATTGAACAACCCTTTCACAGGAATTTCCTAAGACCATCGGAAAACACATATATAATTACATATTGTTTTTGTGATAAATCACTATGCTTTAATTATGTTCAATTTGTAACAATAAAAATACATCCTGCATATCAGATATTTACATTATGATTCATAACAATAGCAAAATTACAGTTATGAAGTAGTAACGAAAATAATTTTATGGTTGGGGGTCACCACAACATGAGTTACTGTATTAAAGGGTCGCAGCATTAGGAAGGTTGAGAACCACTGTGCTAAGGGAAAGAATCCAGAGATAAAACCCACATAGTTTGTGATTCCATTCATTTGAAGTCTTCAAATAGGCAAATTCATAGAGACAATGCAGATTAGTGGTTGCCAGGGGCAATGGGGGTTGGTGGGGGCTGCTTAGTGGGCACAGGGTTTCTGTTTGGGTGATGAATAAGTCCTGGAACTAGGTATTGGGAATAGTTGTACTGCATTGTGCTACTGAGCTGTACAATTTCAAACAGTTAATAAAATGTTAAATTTTGTTATTTTACCACAATTTATAAAAAAGCCACTTTCTCAAAATTTCTTTGACTCCTAGCATTGGTCTGACTGGGTCAGGTTCTCCTGCAAAAGTGTCTAGTAGTATTTCTCTTTTGAAGAACTTACTATAGTTGTAATTGATTTTTTTGTGTAATAATTTGTCTAATATCTGTCTTTCCTTCTGTACTATAAAATCCATCAGGGCAAAGAATCATATCTGTCTTCACCATTGTATCTCCTAGGATATAGCACAATGCTTGGTACATACTAGGTATTCTATAAATACTTATGGAACAAATAAAGCAGGGGTGGGGAACCTTTTTCCTGCCAAGGGCCATTTGGGTATTTATAACATCATTCACGGGCCATACAAAATTATCAACTTAAACATTAGCCTACTATATTTGGTCAAACATTTAACTCACCCCTAATGCCTTAGCAGGTCCTGACCAAATCATTTCTTGGGCCTTATAGATGTTTCCAACCCTGAAATGAAGGAACGAATTGTACCCAATTCCTAAAAAATATAGTATCTCCTAAATATCTTTGAAATAATCTACTTTTCTCTATTCTCACTTTAATCCAAACCATAGTAACATCTTAATCTCTAGAATGATATGACAATCTCCTATTCACTCTCTCGGTCTATTTCATTCTCCACACTGTAACCAAAGTAGTAGTTTTAAAACACTAATACGATCACATCTCTCTCTGCACATGTACCCTGTGAGTACCAAATTTACAAATTAGACTAAAGTCCAAACTCTTTATTTAACACTAGAGGCCTGGTGCACGAAAATCGTGTACTGGGGTGGGGATCCCTCAACCCAGCCTGCACCCTCTTGCAGTCTGGGACCCCTCGAGGGTTGCCTGCCTGCCAGCTTACGCCCGCTCCCCCCGGGGAATTGGGCCTAAGCTGGCAGGCAGACGTGGCTCTCGCAGTCTGGGACCCCTCGCTCCTTACCACCCACCTGCAGCAAAGGTGGGAGAGGCTCCTGCCACAGCCACTGTACTTACCAGCCATGAGCCTGGCTCCATATGGGAGCACACTGACACCAGGAGGCAGCTCCTGCATTGCGTGTCTGCCCCCTAGTGGTCAGTGCATGTTATAGCGACCAGTTGTTCTGCCGTTTGGTAGATTTGTATATTAGGGTTTTATTATATAGGATTGCCTTCACCTGTCTGATTTGGTTCTTTATTTTTTAATTTTTTCAGCTTCATACTGCTCCCCACCCACTTTATAAATATATATTTATTCTGAATTGTGTTTGATACCAGGAACAGTTTATTTTCTTGCATCTCTTGACCTTTACACATGCTCTTTCCACTGCCTGGATCACTCATTT